CTGACATCAAGCATATTATTAGCAATCAACTTATCTTGGAGAATTAGCCAATATGGTGCTCTCAAGTCCAAGATTTTCCATGCCGATGGCTTCATTAGACATCTTGAATGTGCAATCTCATGCCCAACAAAAGGAAACATCGAGAAGGATAAAACTATTATGCCTAATATCTCCTACAACACTTGGATGATAGCCGACTAAAACACCCCTAATGCAAAAATTTGGACAACCATCGAATGTCGATTTAAGTCTATCAATTTCTCAAGAATAATTCAACTAAAGAATGAGTTACATAACATCATCAAGAAAGGCTAAACAACGAAACAATATATCTCTATAAATAATAACATAATTGATGCTATTGCTACAACCATATCTCCCATATATGCTAAAGATATCATTCTCTACACCATAAGCAGTCTATGTTCTTCCTATCAAGCTTTCAAAATGGTCATACGAACCATCCTTCAAGCTCATTGCACACCTCCAGAAGGAAATTCACTACATTTGTTATAAGCTGGTTCATTTAAATTCATATAGAAAGAACAACAAACCTTATCACACTCTATTTAATGGCCTGAAAATTCTATTTTATAATAATACCTTTTGTTGGCCAGTATAATCTAAAAGTAATAGGATTCTGATACTCATCCATTCCACGTATTCTATCCTTAAGGATCGTTTCTTGGGTTGTACTCTTGCCTGATTATAACATCCATGATTGGTAGATAGATCCTAATTTGACAAGCTTTGGAATTAGAAAATTCACTGTTTTTATTTTTTGTCATCCATTCAAATGGGGTTGCTGAGATATTGAGATATCGTTCTTATAGATGATGTCAAATTATTGTATGCAAGAAATTCATAGTTATATAAGAGATTTTTTACGTTCTATCTTTTCTTCAAAATACAACATACATACAAATAGTAATAAAAATATGTAGTACAATCCATAGTTTTATGAGGAAAATCTAAAAAGAGAAAATAATAAAGCCTAGCCTAGATGAAATGATCCACTATGTAGATAGGTTATATGATTCCTTTTATCCCCCAAATGAGGAGGATGGGATTACAAAGTACATAATACAAGTTTTTCTTTCTACAAATATGAGAGAATGTTGGGGATGCGGTCATGATTGAATGACAATGGCCAGGTTGCATAAGTCAAGATAGCGTTGATCAAACTATGGTGAATGCATTATGAGATTTGTGCAATGTTGGTTAGATAATGATGGTCCGATGATAACATTCAGGCAATGGTGGTTAGGCAATGACATTCTGGCGACTGTGGTAGTTGGTAGTGATCGTCACCATTGAATGTTAGGTAAGACTTTAGAGTTCTTAAGATATCCATACTCTCTTCAAACATAAGTCCATTTCCCTTTCATGTGAAGAATTGGGGTGTATTAATTATATTTTGGAAGTGATTTTTTAATAAATGTAGCAAAAATTCTATAAAGCTTCATTTGAAGGCCTATATTGAATTATTTGATCATGAATTGTTCATTTAGAAATTAAGTACCTTAATGACCTCAAAATCAAGAGATTTTGGCTCATTGGATTTGTCTCATTGAGCTGCATGATTTGACTATAAGCATGTAAGATATGGAGATCAACGGATCATTTAATGAATGCTTTGAAGTTTTCTACTATATTTTAAGTTTCTTATTTGGGCTTCTTTGAACTTGAATCATATCAATTTTGGCGTTATTGAGTTTTTCTTGTCAGAGCACACTCAATAACTATAAGTTTTGACAAAATTAGAGTTTGGATGTTTGTTAACTTAATTTTGAAAGTTTTTACATCAAAACTTATGTCAATCAAATGAAATTTCTTCAGTCGGATCATATAGTACATCTAAATAAATGCTTATTGTAAAAACATATAAGTTTTATTAGATGATAGTTATCCAAGTGAGTAGATAACCTCTAATGAGTTACCTAGATAAAGGTGAGATATGTGAGGAAGAATTCCCTTTGGCAAACCATCTAGTGTGCTCTTTAAGACTTTAACAAGTACCTTTTGACTATATTAATGGTGTATTCTCTAGTGAGTTTATTCTGAGTGGATAAGTAACTTCAGGCAATTTGATGCTTTCGATTAAAAATTTTTTAGGCAAGTGTCTTTATTTGTGGTATATTCTCTAGTGTCTTTTATTTTAAAGATTTTGCCCTAGAGAATAATTCATTCTAGAATTTTTTTTTTTTTTTTGATAAAATCCCACGGAAGAGACCTATGCTTTAATTAAAAAATAATATTACAAGTTCTTAATGACTCAAAAGCTCGTTAAAAAATACAAAATTTGAATCAAAATCTAAGAGCCTCATAATCAACCTAATTGCAAAAAATAAAAAATAAATAAAAAAAAAGTCAAAAAACAAAAATAAACAAGCAATCAACAGAGATCCGAAAAGAGAGCAAAGGCTAACAAAAGTCAAGGCACGAGCAACCTGCAAAGAACCTTGAGCACGAGACTCCAGGCTAAGCATTAACCCGAACTTTAGCAACACGATTAGCCAGTAGCAGTCCTGCATTAGGAAAGGGACTAACCCACAACAGGGAAGGAAAAAAATAAAAACCAAAACCAAAAACTCAAAGCCACTACAAGTAACTCAATAATTGCTCAGAAAAGGGCCAAATGTCACAACAAACCATCCACAACAAGAAACCAATCAAGCGCAACCAACAGAGCAAAAAAGAAAAAACCAGAGCCCAAAGAACCAAACCGAAGCAGAGACAACCCATATAGAACATGAACTAGCAGGATCCAACAAATGACACAAGCCAACCAAAGAATTACTTCTTTTTAGCATTCTTTTTGTTTTTCCGCCTACTACGTTTCCCACCACCAAGCTTGAGAGCATCATCTTCGATACAAATCACCTTCAAACTATACAAATCATCCATTGGCTCAACCATATCCTCCCCACCACCATGGCTAGCCAAAGAAGAACAATCATCCAGCCATTCTGAATGATCCACACCATTATCCTTCAAATTTCAAGCTAAATGAGCATTCAGACCATCCTTTGAAATAATAGAGATAGGCACATCAATAACATCCTCTAGATTGACCACATTGGTGAAAGGCGTCGCCCCTTGGTGAAACCTAATATCTTCTTTGATCAACTAAATACTTTGAAGAATTGATTCAAGTATTTGACAACTTGTTAATCCTGATTTATAATGGTGAGAGGACTTGATTAGTGTTTGACCTAGATGACAAACTAGTATAAAAATTCAAGTCAAATGGACTAGAGATTGGGTTGTTAACAGGCCACAAAATTGGATTATGCTAGCCCAATTTTAATCAATTTACTAATCAGGTAAAAATTCCAAGCAAGAATATGACCCAAGCAAGCATTGAAGACCCAAAAACACAATATGTTTGATTTTCCCATAAGATGCAGCGAAAACAGAGAAGGAAAGTTGTGGAAAAGGAGAATTCAAAGCGATGAAGGCGGCTTGAACGGCGAGATAGTGAGAAAGAGACGACAGAGAACAGTGTATGATTAGAGAAATGCTCAACACAACCGCTAAGTTGTTGTTGATGTAATAATATTTTTATATAATATATTTCAAGAGGATATCGCATTTTCATCGTGTTTTTCTTATCATTAAAGATGCTATATAGATTTAAATGTTTAAAATATTAATTTGTAGGTGAAAATTAGTTTAGATATTAAACTTCTTTAAAATTATTATGAATATTATATAGTCAAATTTCATATCCTAATTTTATAAAAATAATGGGTTGTCTGGTAGTATGATTTAAGCAGGATTTATGCCGGACTTTTAGTAAATCCCGCCAAATGGCTTGAGAGTGCACAGTAAATTCGAATTGATCGTATTGTAAATCTTGAATTTATGGATTTATGACGTAAATTTAGGATTTACTAAATCCCATCGTTCAATGTATTTAATGGATTTTCGGATTTGCAAAGTTCTCTCACGGCAAGCTAGTGAGTTCCAATCTTGAAGGAGGTGACGATGGTTACCTTTGCAATGAACGAGCTCCTGAAGTAAATTCCTCCAATGAGGAGGCGAAGAAGCTTCTTTAGCGACTATTTTAACTCAATGCTTTACACTAACACATATGCCAAAGCAATGACAAAAAAAATGGCGACGAGGAAATGCAGCAAAGTAACAACAATGAAGAAATGAAGATGAAAATCAAACTGTAGATGACCTCCATCTAATTAATCTAATTTAGCAAATTCATATAATTTAAATTATTAATGATTAATTCAATAATTAGTAATGTAATTGAATTATCAAATTAAGCCTAGTTAAATAATATAATTAGCTTAGGATTTCGATTTTAAAATTGAATAATTAATTATATAATTAAAATTGTAAATAATAATTAAAAATTATTTAATAGTAGAATATTTATATGCTTAATGAGCTAATTAATAGTATAATTAATAATTCAATCTAATTATACAATACTTAAATAATTAATAAATTAATAGTAGGAGTACTAGTTCCATAAATAGTTATTTAAAAATCAGTAATTAATTAGGTAATTATCATATAATTATATATTAAATACTTATTAAATTAACATTTAACTAAGTAGTTTGATAATTAGTACTATAATTATAAATTAAATTATTTGATAGCTAAACAAATTTTTAATTATATTATTTATCATTATAAATTATTGGCATTAATTAAAATTAAAAATAAATTAGTAACTCATGCTTAACACAAATTAAGCTTAAAACATATTAAATTTAATTTTTAAATGAACCATCCATCTTAAATCTGGAATTACATTGGCAAACAATTTCATAGGATTTAAAATGATTTACCAACTATCATGTAAAACAATTTTTAAGATTTAACATACCCACCATTGACTAAATCCGGATATATAGGATTTATTAAAGCTTCATTTGTGACAGCTTTTTATTGCTTCTGAAAGCAAATTTTTGTACTAGAAAGAAGATTTAAGAAGAAGAAGCCTAAATCCTTTTAAGAAGAAGAAGCCTAAATCCTATTGAAGTTATTGATTCATCAATTATATTGTGAAATTAATTTTAATCACTATAAAATGCAATAAACCAATATACATATGGTTACCTTCCATCTCATCATTTCAAATTTGGATTTCAGACAATTAAGCTCGCCTTTCCACCCGAGGCCAAGCAAGGTTGGTGTTCCTGGCAACTGCTTTTGAATCAACAGAGATGCTTTTCCCATTATAATACGCTGGTGTTGGTGGAATTGGAAGCTTCATGGATGAAGTACAAAGCATCGCGATTATAAAAGCCATGTTAGGCCTCTGTGTCGCCTGTTCTTGCACGCATAGTAACGCTATCTGTATGACTCTCAATGCTTCTTGTGCTGAGTATCGCTTGCCAATTCTCTTATCAATGACTTCCAATGCCTTCCCTTGTTTCCAACGCTTCCAAACCTAATATTCCATAAACAACTTCAGATTCAAGCTTACGGCTTTTTTACTGCTTCTTGAAACAGCTTTTTAATATAAAAATTAAAATTTTTATACTAGAAAGAAAAAGCCATCCCAAAGGAAGCCTCACTAATAATCAAAGCAATCATTTCTCTACAAAACAAAGCATGGACTCCTTACATAGCTTAGAAGGTTAACAGTTTGCTCTGATGCTTCTGTACATTTCTCCCCGGTAATGATCTCCAATACCAGCACTCCAAAGCTGTAAACATCGGATTTAGTGGAGAAAAATCCATGCAAGGCATATTCAGGTGCCATGTATCCCCTGCAAACAAATTAAAGAGTTATTGAGTACAAATTGGGACAAATGAAGTGCAATTTATACTTACAATGTGCCACAAACTCGAGTTGTATTTCTTTCAGTTTCATCAACCCCAAAAAGTTTTGCAAGACCAAAATCTGAAATCTTTGGGTTCATGTCACTGTCAAGCAAGATGTTAGCTGCTTTCAGGTCACGATGAACAATTCTCAATCGGGAATCTTCATGAAGATAAAGAAGACCGCGCCCAATCCCTATTATTATCTTCAACCTTGATTCCCAGCCTATTTGTATCCTCCTTATGGGATCTGCAGAAACAAAAGTTCCATGCTGTCTCAGGTTGAAAGTTTGTTTGAAACATAGAGAAGCCAAAAAGCTATATGTGTTGACTAATTTAGCTAAAATGGTCAAGCTTTGTAATAGAGATTAAGGCTTCATTTGGGATGACTTTCTTGTAGCTTCTCAAAACAGTTTTTTAAGACAAAAAATAAAATTTTTGTAGTAGAAAGCTGCTTTATGAAGCAGCAAGAAAGTCGTCCCAAACGAAGCCTAAAAATGTTAAAAATCAGAATGGTGTCAGCACCATGATGTATAAAGAAACGACAAAGGAGAAAATTATACAGTGGAAAAGCTGCAGTAGATTAATGCATCTGCTAACTCAGTACTCTCACTTCCTTATTGCCTTATGTAAATGTGTATTTATAATGCTTTGTGTATGCGTGTGTGCGGCTGTGATTTGTTTCGTCTTTTACTGATGAACACTGCGGATTACACTAGCCAAGTGATCTGTTGAGTCTCATTCTTGCGGCGGAACTTGTCTGTCCTTTTTAATGTACACAGTCCAGATTTAGAGTAAATAAAGTGTTAATCAAATAATTTGAAGTAGAAGAATCGGAGATGAATACAAAATGCATACCAAATAAGAATTTGTCAAGGCTTGTATTGGGGAGGAATTCGTAAACAAGCAGCTTCTCCTCCTGTTCCAGGCAATAACCCAACAACCTTATGAGGTTTTTGTGCTGAAGCTTAGCAGTGAAATTAATCTCGTTTTTCATTTCTTGGAGTCCTTGCCGTGAAGTTGTTGATAACCTTTTCACTGCTATTTCCTGCCCGTTCATGAGCACTCCCTGCATACTCCATTCAACTGTCAATTTCAGATCTTATGCTTAAATTGAGCGACAACATTGTAAAAGTAGATAGAATGTCAAACAAATTTCACAATCTTTGTATGCCTTCACCTTGTAAACAGGCCCAAATCCGCCTTCGCCAAGCTTATTTTCCTTAGCAAAGTTGTTCGTAGCATTTTTTATGGCACAAAAATCAATCATTTTAACCTCAAATTTTTTTTCCAGAACTTCTTCCTCATCCACAGCATATCCTAGTATTCAAAAGCAAGTTGTAAACATTTGTAATAACTGATTTTACTGGAATTATACGTTTGTGCCAAATTATTAATTTAGGTTAGAAATGGCACATAAAATGAAGAAAATCATCATTACTGATTTCTGATGCTAATAATTTTCTTTTCCTTTGTCGCAGTAGAAGAATGAAGAATGTACAGAAAAGCAGCAGTGCAACAGCTCCAGAGATCCCAGCAACAACTGCTACTGTTTTACTCCTTTTATTTGTGCTTATATTTCCTACAAAAAAGGGAAACTTTAGGAAGAGGCGGACTTTATTGGTGACATAACATGCGGAAAATCTGTGGTTTTGGCGATTAGAGAAATAAGCTAAATATTCTTAAATTACTTAATATTTTTTTCTTTTTTTTTTGTATAAAATACAATTTACATATATGATTAAAAAAGAACAGTTGTCACTTTTTAAGTTCTCTCATAAAAATGTCATTAGAGATTTTCTGTGCGTAAAATGGCTCAAAAGTGCTTTCCAACTCTTTGCATCTCTTGGAGACTTGGAGTCAAGGTTACATCTAATCTATTCTACAAATGTGAAAGGTTTTGTTAACGGGTTTCTTTTTTTTTCAACTCTTCTAATGATCTTAGGCAATGCTGCTTTCTCTACCCCTACAATTTCAGCATTGTGATGGATTCTTTTTTAACATGCTTGAACATCAGTACTCCTATGGCACTTTTAATGGTGTTAAAATGGGCAACTTATTTCCCACTTATTATATACATATTATATCATTATTTTTAGTAAGGCCTCTATTGAGAATCTTGATAAAAATACTCTCAAACTCATTTCATCAGGGACTTCATCATGGGCAACAGCTGGGTTTTACCAGATTCTATTACTCCTGTTAGCAATGCTATTCATGAAATTCCAATTTTGGAGAGTTCTAACAACTGCCATGTTTCGGGAAATCAAAACAATAGTAAATTTATTGATTATATTAAGGAGTTTTACTCTAATTTGCCTAGCTGCACTTGGTTTAACTTGGTATGGCACGCTAAGTATGCATTGAGATTCTCGAGTTTCACTTGGTTGGCTATTGTTGGGGAAATGAAAACTGCGGAAGCATTGCATAAAAGGAACATCTTTGTCCCTTTAATGTGCAGTTTATGTTATGAATATCCTGAAAGTGACTCTCATTTATTCTTTAAATGCTCTTACTCATTTGATATTCTATCGGATCTCATGCCTAGCTCTAAGCAACTCCTTCTTAGGCCCACTATTCTCCAACTTTTAGAATGGATTGATGAAGAACACAGTACCCAACAGCCGGTTAAAAAGCTCTACTTTCTCATTACTTGCTGTTGCATTTATTATATTTGGAAAGAAACGAACAATAGGAAATTTGTGAATAATTTTCAAAGCATCACCACCATTTCTCTAAGTATTAAAAAAGCTGTTTTTGAGAAAGTTATTAAGTGGAAGAACTGCTCAAAGTATTTGGAATTGATTTAGCTGAGGAAGCTATTTTGTGGCAGTACTACTTCTGGTAGCTAGAATTGATTGTGTTGATTTTACCGGTCTTAGCTGAAGCTGTATTTTGAGAAAGTTAGTATGTTGCCCCCTTTTTGGCAATGGGAGCTTTCTTCTTTCTGGTATTTTGCTTTCAAGATGTTTTCCTGTATGTGCTCTATGTTGAGCGTTTTTTGTGCTCTCATTGAGAAATCCCTTTTTGTATGGGACCTCTTTTTGTTTTCTTTCATTACTTATAATTCTCTTTTTATACCTTCAATATACGGGCTAAGCCTAAATTTTTTAAAAAAATAAAAAAGTTACACCAAACGGTTCAATGAATCGAACCTTTCATTGAAAGTCAATGTGAACCACACCAATTGCTTTAGTTGGTAGGCCCACTCATAGAAGAAATGTCAGAGTACGATTAAAGGAGATTAAAGCTTAGTGCTAAATGTTACCATATATATGATATGATGTACTATTCTTCGCTATTATCATATAAAAGTTTTGTACAATACAACTCTCTTTAATCTATTGGTTGAGAGTTTATGCTTGTGTGTAAGTTTTTCTTAAATGACCTAAATGTTCCAAAAAAGAAATTGGTAGAGTCTTTCATTTTTGAATTTTATTCTATAGAAGTAGATATATTAAGACCTTGGAGAATTATAAATTCTATGAAATATTTAATTCTAATCAATTGATCATCTTTGATGTCATCATCTATGAGGACAAATATCCAAATTAATTTTAAAATATAAGTGGATAAAAACCCATAGATCAATTAAGCTTTATTTGAGATATTTTTCTGTTGTTTTGTAAAGTTTTTGTAGAGCAAGTAAATTTTTCACGTTATTGTCAAAAACATCTTTCTAGCATAATTTTTTTAATCAGCGAGAAAGTAATGACCAAATAAATATTATAATTATAATATAAAAAATAAAGTAATAAAAAACTATCCAAAATAAAATCTTAATTCGTTCGGAAGACCAACTTGTGATAATTATATATATGCATATAAGGGCTTAACGTAGATGTAAAGTTGAAAGAAATTGAAACAAAGTGAATTAAAAGTTTTGGGAGAAAATTGTTTTTAAATAAAAACAACTTAAAATTGTTTTTTTTTTTTGGTATTTTTAAACAAATCCGTTTTTTAGAATAAATAATAAATTAATGTTTGATAATGAAAATAATTTGTAAAAATAAAATAATAAATTGATTCAAATAGAATCATACATTTTATACTATTTTTTTTAATATATATATACGGATAGTTGCTCAGCCTAAAGTTAAGGGAGGTTTGGGCTTGCCATCCTTTGATTCTATCTTCCATAACATGGCTTGTTCCTTTATTTTTAGAATGTATAATGAACATACTTTAATTGACACCTGGTATAGAGAAAATATGACTCCATTTGGAAGTTGCCCCCGACCTCAGCTTCTCAATTCTGAAAACTTTTTTGCCGCACTGCTGCTTGCATCAACTCTACTGTTTCTTTCTCTGTGCACCGAAACTGTAATCTTTCTTTCTTATGGGACCCGTGGTGTGATAACAAGCCGGTTGTTGATATGTTTTATTCCCCCAATTTAGCTCATTCTTGGGTTAAAGACTTCATTCAACATAACAATTGGAATATTCCTGAATGTGTTCCTGTTAATGTCAAATCTATTATTTTGAACACTGTTATTGAGGAGGAGCAACCGGTGCTTTACTGGGAGGGCTATCCTAATCCTTCTCCCCGTAATTTTATATCTCAACTTCACTGTAATTTGGAGGATGTGGTTTGGAGTAAGTACATTTGGCACAAAGGTTATGCTTTACGTTTTGCTTGCTTTGCCTAGATGGCTCTGTTAGGGAAATTAAAGACGACTGATAATCTCATTTTGAAAGGTATTACGGTGAATTCTGGATGTGGTTTTTGCTCTGGACATTTAGAAACGCATTCTCATGTATTTTTTGAATGTGATTTCTCTTTTTTTATCCTTACCGGGCTATTTCCCTCAATGGCCACATTCTATCTTAGACCAAACATTTTAGAAGCTTATGATTACTTGGGGAATTTGAGAATTCATGGCAGAAATGAATGTAATTTCTGCTTCCTTACACTGGCTGCTTTGGTTTACTTTCTATGGCGAGAAAGAAATAACAGGAGGTTTTCGGGTGAATGGAGAAGTCCCACTGATTTAAAAAATGTTATCATTCATGCTATTCCTGCAAAAGTTAGAAACTGGAAGTGTTTGGAGAAGATCAAACCATTGTTTTTGGAAATTCTGGGCTGATGCGTATTTCTGGTCCTCTAGCCGGTGCAGAACTATTACTGGGACCATTGTAAATTTGAAAGAAAGTTTTTTAGAGTTTATTTCTGGGAGCCTGTTGGCCGTTTTCTTTGACCGTCCAGGCTTCTTACTGATTAAAATTTTTGCATGGAGAATTCTGCCCAGCTCCTTTGCTGGAATTTTGCAGTTGCAGATTTTTGGGACAATGATGTGCAGGTCTACATCTCTTACGCCTCCTAGGAGGGTCTTTTGGCAACCAGGATGGCATTTTTCGGGCACTGTGAGGGCCCTGCTGCTTGGGCAACCAGTGTCATTGTGGCTTTTGTGGTTTGTGGCAATTATGATGATGGCTTTGATGTCTATGAGATGTAGACCTTTTTCCTGAGTACTTAGGATTTTTCTTCCTTATTTTTCCTATATTTTGTCTTTACTTTCTGCTCTCGGTATAGTTTATTTCTATACTTGTAATTTTTGATTATTATAACCTTGGTGATTAATATACGGGCTCTGCCCCAATTTTTTCCAAAAAAAAAACTATGTCGACGCGTTGTCCTCTTAATAGTGAATTTCTTGAAAAGACTTTTCTATCACTATCATTGTCTAAAGTCGTTGTGGAGCAAGTCGGCCAAAAACTTCTATTGAAATCGAGTCGGTGGGAATGCAAGTCGGTCAAATGCAATAGTAATTTATGCTCTCTTTAAAATCATGTTTTATTATAGGAAAGATATTAAAATTTATGAGAGTTACGAATTACGTAAATTACTTATTTCCGCAATTATCATCTTTAATGTCATTTGTTTCAAATTAGCCTAAATATACAACTGAAGAATGATTCAGGTATTAATTTTTAGCATAAAACTTAAAAATAATAATAATAATCTCATGATGTGAGATTATCTTTTGATCTGTTCTAGTTGGCTATATCATTCATTCTAAGGTGATCCAATCTAAATTATGCATGGAATATAAAACAAGAAATAGTGTAAATTAAAAATTAGAGATTCAGGTACGCAGAAATTAAACACTCACCTCCTGCCTGCGGCGTCGGTGCTCCTGCCTCCGGCGCCGGTGCTGGCAGCAATGTAGAGTTTGAGTAGAACTGATATGTTTCAAATCTCAAATGACAGCTCGCAAATGCCCCGCTACCCTGAGTCTTCCCAGCTGGAATCCTATCGAAAACGTTACTAAGGCATTGGGCACAGTCGCTGCTCGCCAAATCCAACGAGCACCATCCCATCCCATAGATATTCGGCGCATCCACCGAATCATTCGCAACCCCCACCGCAAATTTCAACACCGCGGCCGCCGCCGACGACATCACTCTCTTCATCAAGATATTCACTCGGCTGTTGAAGGAAGCAGATGCGTTATCGGTATAGGAGTAATGAACGAACAATTTCTCTTCCAAGCTGTTGTAGAACGTCTGATCGGAGTAGCGGATGAGGCAGTTTCCAGCACGGTTGGCGAAAGATTTCTTAAGTCCACAGCCTTTATTGTTGAGGGAGGCCACGACGGATTGGTTGAGACAAGTGGAACAGACAGCGGGAGTGATGTCAGGGCGGCACTGCGCGAGGCCGAAGATTTGAGGGGAAGTGGAGTTGTTGAGGAAGAAGAAAGAGGGGGAGTTGGGGGTGGATTTGATGAGTTCGTGGAGAAGAAGGCGGAGGTTGGAGTCATAGGGGCTTGATGAGGTGAAGTTTTCGCCGTGGCAGTCGGTGATGAAAGGGTTGTTCTGATCACCCTGGGAAAAAGTTTGAACGGTGATGGATAGTATTATTGTAAGGAGGCTGAAGAGGAAGAGAGGAGAGTTGGGAGGTGACATTCGGTGCCTGAGAGATGAAGGACAATGCATTGGACATAATCACAGAACTAAGCTGGGCTAATAAATTTGTCTTAAAACACATACGAAATCTATCTATTCAACAATGTACAGATGTACCTGCATGACTTCCCTTTGCTTAGCAGTAAGGTGTTCACACGCAAAAAAAAAAATAAAAAAAAAAAAAAAAAAAAAAAAAGGTGTTGGAAGAATCTTCACTGCGGGCTTGTGGGTCATAAATTGTGTGCTGCTCGGTGATTGCAATGGATTTCCTGTAGGGTGTCAATTTTTGACACGACTCAATACCGGATCTGGAAAAGTCCGGGTACGGGTAGGCCCGGTTAGCAAACGAGTTAGATTCAGTTTCGGATTTTTGACCCGTATCAAAAAACGAGTCGGGTTCGGATAGATCCGGAAACCTGAATCAACTCGACACTGACCCGAAAGTCGAGTCCATCCCGGTTTCAGCCCGCATTCGAGACGTCGCTCGCTGCCGCGCTTGCGCGGTGTCGCACTCGCATGCGGACTCCACCAGTCCACCTGCTGTCGCGCACTCGCGCCATCGCGCCCCGCACTCACACCGTCGAGCGGTCAGCTCGTGACCCAAAGGTCGACTCAGCAGGTCAGCCCACGCCTTGCACTCACGACGTCGTACGGTTCCGCGGACTCCGTCCGCAAGCGCGGACCCGCGGACTCAGTTAGCACTCGCGCTGTCACGAGCTCGCGGCTACGCCCTCTGCCTTGCGCGACACCGCCCGCACTCGCTCGCCCTTCTTTAGCCAAATCTGCTAAACCGGGTAGGGTCGGGTCAACCCGGCAACCCGCGTGGGTCACGCCCGGGTTGAAATGTCCGACCCATTTTCAAAAATGGGTCGGGTTTGGATTGACCTGTCTAGGTTCGGGTCAACTCGGATTCGACCCGAACCTGACCTGTCGACCCGAATTGACACCCCTAGTTTCCTAAGCCTTTTTTTTTTGTTCTATGAATTTCCTTTTGCCTCTTTTGACATGTGCAATTTTGGCACCTTTTGGTTGGTCTTTTTTGGATCTCTTAGGAGTTTTTTCCCTCAATTTGACTCTTCCAGTTTCTTTTTACACATGTAACTAATTTTTAGAATGAACTTAAAAATTATTTGATTTAATTTAAAATTAGTAAGTTTAAATTAAATCAAATAATGTTTAAATTCATTATATATATATATACCCTAAATTCTATTCCAGTCGCTCTCCGCTCTGGCGACCGCCTCTGTTCCTCATGATTCCCTTCTACGTTTGCTCTGCGCGACTGTGCTCTGCTCCACACGATTCCATTCTACCTCTGATTCATGCGACAGTGCTCCGTTCTTGCCACTGGGAACAAAGTTTCGACGCAACTATTGCTCTGTCGGGCAACGACCGATCCTGAGAGAATAAAACAACAAAATAAAACTCATTCAACTTCAAAGTGTTCAAGGTAATCTTGTTATTCATCTCTATAGGTTTTCTTCTTGCTTTGTCTGCTTTATATTTCTCCTTTATCTATGTATCGTCGCACAAGCCACAAAGCTTTTCCAATACCGTCATACAAAGCTATTCTAGTCTTAAATGAAATCTGCTTTGATTTTCCAATTATAGATGAAAATATGAAATCTTTTTTAACATTTGCTATGATTGGTAGGTTGGGAAATCTTATCCTCAATTTTCTACATACATACCACTTTATAACATCCTATTTACATATCTAACACCTAAAACTTTAATATTATATGAATACCACCCTATATTATTTTAATATCAAATATATCACTTACATTTCTTTCCTACCACTCATATATTTCATTTCTACCACTCATATTTGATATGAAAATGAACTATGAGTGGTATGTATGTAATATTAAAATTTTAGGTGTTAAATATGTAAATAGCATAGTATTAAGTTGTATGTATGTAAATCTCCCTAAAATATATTGGATGTCTTACTGAAAAGAATGATATTTTATATAATCTTATTTTCATATTATTAAAATTGGCTTTAGTCTTGCCGATTGCATTTTTTGCAATGACTATTATAAAAACTCAACTTCGAAGTAGAATTAGAGATTAGTGGATGAATGATACTTTACTTATTTATATTGAAAAAGAAGTATTTTTTAGCTTATATTTAGTATTTAATTTAAAAAAAAAAAATTAAAAGTGCCAATGCTAGTCCAAGACCCGGATGGAAAAAGTTTAGAGAAATTTTTTAAAAGAAAATTTTGGAACCCCTCTAGAAAAAGTTTCTGGCTCCACCATGCCAATGTTTAAATTCTTTTTACTTAAGAGGTTTCACTATATAACTGACATTCTTATCAGTATCCCAGATAAATTAGATTCTAGAGGTGACCCCTACAGGCTCAAGTGGTGGCTCTCATCATATAGCGCTTTGTCTCATATAGAGTTCAAGAGGGTGCCAACCCTAAATACCATAATTATTTTTATATAGCATACTATGTTTGTGATGGCGCCAACATAATGTGTTTCTTTCGAGCAAATTCACTCTCAAAATTTTCAAACAACAGTTGCAACTTTAGCAACAACATTGTTAAAAAATCTTTTTTTTTTTTTAAATAAGAACTTCATAATGGACTTTGTCGAAAGCTAAAGTTGACCCAACCACGTCAATATTGGTGACATTATTTTATAATAGGGGCACGTTAAATTCATGTGGAATCACATGAATAATTTTGCTCCTTTATCTATGGCTAGAGAATTAAGGGATGTCCTATTGGCTCTAATTTCTTCCTCTTAGTTGTTTGATTGGATGTTTGGTATATATATTCAAAAGTTTTTAATTTACAAGTTATGATAAAAATATTTGCAAAAAAAAAAAAAAATGAGACAAGACTTGGATTATAAAAACTGAAATTACAAATTTAAAAGTGTCACAATCTTAAAAGATATTAAAGGTTTTGTCGAATTCCTATTGACTTAAAACATGCCTATAGATTACCATTTGACTCATTAAGTTTGATGCACAGATCTTTAGTTGTTTAATTTTATTCGAGAAAAAAAAAAAGTTTGACGCCCAGCCAAATAGTTTCGAGTATTCAGAATATATTCCATCAACTTTGATCTTTAAGAAATGCATAATTTCAAAGTTTTTGCAACATAACAACTACTTGCTCATTCCAAGAAGAGATTCAATGGCATTACCTACCTTTTAAAACTGTCAAAGTGATATCATTTTGTGAACCATATATTAATAATTCGGAAGCCACTTCATGTTCTGTAGTGAAGAATGCAGGCTTCTTTGGATCTTGTAAAATTGCATTTTCACTACTAAGCATGGTAATAATTTCTGACATTATAGGTCGATCTGCTGCTTTTTCTTGACCACACATAAGTGCCACAATGATACATTTTGAAACCTCATTTGATGGGATTTTATCACCTAATGATGGATCAACAAAATCCAGCCAATTTCCATTTTTCCATAGCTCCCATGCCTGAAACATACCATTTTTACTTATTAGGACATAAATTTATAGCCTAAATTGTATTCATCATATTAGAAAAAAGAAATCAACACAAATTTAATATCTTACATGTACAAGCAGGTTTAGAGCTTTCCCATACTTATGAAAGGAAGTATTTCTCTTCCCACTGATGATTTCTAGCATTAAAACCCCAAAGCTAAAGACATCAGACTTGACTGAGAAAAGGCCCTCCATTGCATACTCGGGAGACATGTAACCACTGCATGTTCACAAAAGAAACTACCTCATTATTTGATAATATATGTGATATGAATAGTGTTTTTCATTAGCTTGCCAAAAAAAATCACATACTATGTACCAACAATCCTATTTGTGTTTGTTGGTGTTGTGCTAGCATGAATTCGAGCCAAACCAAAATCTGAAATTTTTGGGTTCATTTGGAGATCCAGGAGAATGTTGCTAGCTTTTAAATCTCTATGGATAATTCGAACTCGAGAGTATTTGTGATGGTAAAGAAGACCTTGAGCAATCCCATCAATTATGGCAAATCGCTTTGACCAATCTAGTTGTTCTTTTCTACTTTGATCTGCAAATGACAAAAATTCATCAAGTGGATTAATAATCAAAAGCTGAAATGGAGTACACACATGAATTGTAATGTAATTTATTTAGAATAGCAAACCAAAAAGATGATAATCCAAGCTTTTGTTAGGCATGTATTCATAAATGAGTAACTTCTCATCTCCTTCAATGCAACAACCCAAAAGCTTAACAAGATTTTGATGTTGAAGCTTGGCAATAAGCTTTATTTCATTCATAAATTCCTCCAGTCCTTGACCAAAAAATGCATCCAGTCGTTTAACTGCCATAGATTCGCCTGATGAAAGATAGCACTGTAATGATAAACAATTGAGATGGAAAGGACAATGTTAACACTTTTTTCTACCATTTTGCTTTAAAAGACATTTAGTAGATTGTTATTATAAGAATGGTGCACACCAATAGTAAGTGGTCTTAACATACCAATTTAAGGTTGATATATTTGATGGTCTAACTCATGGTATTTTGTCTATAATCATGACATTCTTCATCAAAAAATTATTTTGAGCATAAAATTCAGTATAAATTAAAATAATGCAAGAATTATAATGAATGTTCACCATACTATCTATACATGTTGTTCTACTAGTTTTACATAACCTCTAAAATGATGTTAATGCTACTTTCAAATGCATAATCATGACTAAGAAAGAAGTTTACTAAATTCATTTGTGGAATTTCAAAGGATGCCTTGAGCAATTAATCACCTTATAAACAGAACCAAAGCCACCCTGACCAAGCTTGTTAGTAGAAGAAAAGTTGTCTGTTGCTTCCATAATGCTCGAAAATTTGATCAGTGAAAATTCCATACTATTCTCTTTGATTTTAAGTTTTGATGCTAATTCTGCGCCTTGAATTACTGCCATTTGATTATTCTGTAATTTTTTTGTTCCTGATTCATATAGAAATTTGATTTCATCAATTCTGCAATGAGTCCACTTTTGTTATAAATAATTTTTCCAAAACATACCTTTGTCTCTTCTTTTTCTTCTCCATATTAAAAAAATAATTGTACATATAAGGAGTAGTATTCCAACTGGCAAGAAAATGGCGACTCTCCGGATCATAATCTTCCTTCCTGCATACATAAGATTATTTCACCTATATTTACAAGCTATAAAATTATTAATAAAAGTTGAAAACAAGTGTAATAATAGAGAAGTTGTTCAAAGTGAATAGATATATCAGATAATTAAAGGCAATTTGATACATGACTTACAATAAAATTTGGGTGGGATTAAGGTAAGAGCAACCACACAATTTTTGTAGGCATTTAAACTTTGGATTATCGTGATTTTAGCTAAAGTTGAACAAAATTTAGGACATTTGCTGATTGACGGGATTTTAGCTAAAGTTGAACTAAATTTAGGACACGTACTGATTGACATTCCCCACTACATCAGCCGAGCCGATTTCAAGCTAATTATAACCGATTTGGTATCAATTATAATAAATTGAACTATGTTGAATCAACTTGACTTGATAACGACTTAAATCGTCTCGACTCGAGTTTAAATCAACGTCGGCAACTTTGATCGATGTAATATGACTCGACTTGAGTCAATTAATCGATATTAATTGGATTAAATCAATTGAATTGAATCATCCTACATTTAAATTTAACTTGATTGGTTCAGACATTTTTCATTATAATCCTCTATACATTTTTAAAAAATAAAAATAATAATTAAACCCTAACGCCTAAATAGTTAAAAAATAAAATAAATAAATATATTAAATAAAACCCTCCATACATTTTCGAATGCAATCGATAAAAATGGTTGCCCTCCAATACACCTCAAATGCTACGAAATCTATCTTCAGCCCTTGGATTGAGGGGTAGGATCATCAATTAGCTTTTCTAAAAGCTACCAGGTGATGAAAGAATAATTCGTCCTGGACGATCAGGACTTAGAAAAATTTTCTTCGCTTCCTGCTCGTTCCATTGCTCTTCCGAGGAGATAACTGACTTGATCGTTCCGTACGAACTGTGTTCGTCCCCTACGATCATTATAAATTTTTAAAGATCCCCTCAAGTGTGTGTGCGCTTATTTACACAATTACAATTACTCCCTCTCAAACTCAATTCAAAGAAAAATACAAGTTCAATTTACAAACTATCTTATGCTGAATTTGATTTGAAGTCTTCATTAGTCTGGAGTTCGAATTTCCTGAAATATTAGTCCATACAAGAGCAAAAACAAATCTTCCAAAAGTATTATGAGATAACAAAACTTAAAATAATAATATTTGGAATCATCAAAATTATACAAGTTGCAAGAATATAAAACATGCAAATAGCAACTCTCTTAACAATCTCCCCCTTTTTGATGATGGGAAAACAATTATTGTTTGTATAATTTTCAAATTTTAAGAATCTTCTAAACTCCCCATGAATTGATGAACATTTGAAAATAAGAAGGCTTTGCACAACAATTTTATCTCTCCCAATTTTTTTTTCAATTTTAAAATGTAACAAAATCAATACGAAACAAAAATACTATACGAACAAGGATACGAAACGATAAGAGTTACGAAAAGATACGAACAAACATTAATTTTAAATTAAATAAACAATTTTAAAGTAAATCTAAAATAAATACTAATCTTAAAATAAATTAAAATTTTTCAAATTTAATTTAATTTAATTTAATTTGTATTAGAATGTTCTAATTTAATTTTTTCTTAGATTTATAGGAAAGTTTATATAATTGATAGAATATTCATATATTTTAAATATGTGATGTACCATTTTATATTTGGAGCTCTTAAACAAAAGAAAAGAAAACCTCTTTCACACCCCACAAACCCGCCAACTCTTCTACAAAGCCAGAATTTTCAGGCTTTTTAGGTCTTTTTTTTTTAATACTATTAAAATATTAATAGATAATAATGCAAATAAAAAATATTATTTGATATATCATCAAAAAATTATCTTGATTGGGCATGAATCTCGAGGTAAAATTGAGTTAGAAAATTTCAAAATTAAATTCAGGATCATCTGAACTCCGATTTCTGCAAATTTATAGTTGAGTTGAACGTCTTAGAAAGAACAACACAACGACACCAAATTCGACCCAATCCGAGTCCAAATGGGTCTAAATCGAGGACTCGAAGAGCATTTAGAATGTTCAAATCATAAATTAGATGACCAAAATATCTTCAATTGTGGCGTGATTATAGTCGAGCACGTGGTGTTTTTACATGTATGCTTATGTCATAATTATGATTTCAATTGTTATGTTTCTATAAAAATATAGGCTTAAAATTATACTTTTCTTAAATTTGGGGAAAGTTTCATCATATATCTTATAGTATAACACTGTGCACTCTATTTTGAACAAGTTGACTATAAGAATGTAAATTTTAGGAGTCATTATGGCATGATTTCTTATAAAAAAATATAAAATATCTGGTTAATTTACTCTGTATGATTTTTTGATAAGTCTAGATAAATGCACCACTTTTGAACCATTATGCAGTTGAAAAAATATGCTAAACTGACATTTTATATAATCTATGTGAATTTAATAATATTCTGAAATATTAAGAAGGTATCTAAAATTTGGGGGAATTTTTGAAACTGGACGACTTAAACATTTTATTTTAATTCTTTAGCTATACACTGCATATGCAACAGTATGCATTTTATGGCATTTATGATATCCGTCATGTAAAAGAAAATGCACTGTGAAATATGTGCTTAGGCTCAATACAAATTCTATACTACGTTGTTGATATATCATAAAAAAATCATCTGGATCGGGCATGAATCTCGATGCAAAATCAAGTCGGAAATTTCAAAAATTAAATTCGAGATCACCTGAACTCTGATTTCAGCGAACTTACAGTCAAACTGATCTTCTCAAAAATATGAACTCAACGACGCCAAAATCGACTCAATCCGAGCCCAAATGAGTTCAAATCAAGCACCCGAAGCACTATTGGAAAGTTCGAACCACAATTTGAGTTACCAAAGGGTTTCCAAATATGACGTTCTTATAGTCGAATCGAGTGGCTCAACGATACGAATCCAACGAGCCCAAGATCTTCTGACATAAGACCTTCAAATGTTTGACGAACGGTACACGATTAAGAGATTCAATATCGGTCATCCATTCGAATCACTCCACCTTTGCCCTTGATCCTCCTCCTATTTACGGGTCATGCCATCCTAAAAAAAAACTATAAATATACTCCTCATTTCTCTTGAGAGGGGACCCAAGAAAGAAGATGAGGAGAAGAAGGAGAAGAGAAGAGAAGAAGATTATGAGGGAAGAAACTCCTCGAGCACCGATGCCGGAATTCTGCCCGATTACCGAACGACGCTGAAATTCTGCCCAACTTCTGAACGACGCCAGAATTCTGCCTGACTTCCGAAGGATGCTGGAATTCTGCTCGATCTCCAAGTAACACCGGAACTCTACCCGACGTTGTAATTGAATTTCAATCCAGAAGTGATTTATTGTAATTTGATCGTCCAAATTTTTGCGGACGAGTCAGCCTCTTATATCGCAAGCAAACACTAGTGGAACTTTTTCAACTGGGCGTGACACCGTGATTTTTACCCTTTCTAGGGTTTTCACGTAAAAATCTTGGTGTTTCTATTTCTCTCATGTTTGTGTGTTAGATATCCGTACAATGCTGAGACAAAAATTTTCTTTTCAAAAATTAAATTTGGGATCACCTGAACTCTGATTTCAGCGAACTTACAGTCAAATTGATCGTCTCAAAAATATGAACTCAACGACACCAAAATCGACTCAATCCGAGCCCAAATGAGTTCAAATCAAGCACCCGAAGCACTATTGGAAAGTTCGAACCACAATTTGAGTTACCAAAGGGTTTCCAAATATGACGTTCTTATAGTCGAATCGAGTGGCTCAACGAGACGAATCCAACGACCCCAAGATCTTCTGACATAAGACCACCTTCAAATGTATGACGAACGGTACACGATTAAGGGGTTCAATATCGGTCATCCATTCGAATCACTCCACCTTTGTCCTTGATCCTCCTCCTACTTACGGGTCATGCCATCCTCAAAAAAATTATAAATAGACCCCTCATTTCTCTTGAGAGGGGACCCAAGAAAGAAGATGAGGAGAAAATGAGGAGAAGAAGGAGAAGAGAAGAGAAGAAGATTATGAGAGAAGAAACTCCTCGAGCACCGACGCCGGAATTCTGCCCGACTACCGAACGACGCCGAAATTTTGCCCAACTTCCGAACGACGCCAAAATTCTGCCCGACTTCCTAAGGACGCCGGAATTCTGCTTGATCTCCAAGTAACACCGGAACTCTACCCGACGTTATAATTGAATTTCAATCCAGAAGTGATTTATTGTAATTTGATCGTCCATTTTTTTGCGGACGAGTCAACCTCTTATATCTCAAGCAAACACTAGTGGAACTTTTTCAGCTAGGCGTGGCACCGTGGTTTTTACCCTTTCTAGGGTTTTCACGTAAAAATCTTGGTGTTTCTATTTTTCTCATGTTTGTGTGTTAGATATCCGTACAACGTTGATACAAAATTTTCTAACTCTATCGCCGCGTAAATTCTAGCCTGCAATAGTTGTTTTGTTCTGACCTTTGAATTGACTATGTGATGGAAATACTCTGCTCTGCACCATCTTAGAGTAGGTGGGAGATGATAAAGAGGAGTTAAAATTAAGCAGGTATTGAGTTATGTGCATTTTTGCATCTATATTTTCATGTGTGTTTAACTTATCCTACTGTTATGCTCTATAAAGTATAAACCCTACTTTTTTATAAGTTAGAATAAAAATGTAAACCTTATGTGTTCCAATGTGGATAATTTGGCTGAGTTTCCCTGTTCTGCAGATATTAATCATGTTATTTCTGATTTGCTTATTCTCACAGCTTCTTTTCATGTTTGTCCTCTCCTATTACTGCAGAGGTTTTGCCTTATGGGCATGTGCCTTTGCCACATGTTGTGGTTGACCCTCTAAATTGTGATGTTCCTGAATTTTTTGGAGGTGTTTCGAATTCGTAAAGTTTGGGTAGGTCTAATGCTTTGAGTAATTGTGTTTTATAATGTGGTCTTTCTCCTATGGATGTTTCTACTCCTATAACTGTGGATTGTTCGAAGGAGAAGAATAATGATTTATGTGAGATTAATAGGGAAGTTGGGCATGAGCTGTCTACGGTTTCGGTGTCTAATGTTTCGGTTCATACTGTTTCTTCTCAAACTTCCGTGGATTTGGCTGTGGTTGCTTGTGAAGTGGTATCTAATATTTCTTCTCCTACTGTTCAGTTGTATGAATAACTTGTTAAGGTCCCAGTTAATTTAATTTCTGATAATGCTTTGGTTGCCCATGTGGGAGACAGACCGGAGGGATAGTGTAAGATTGCAAACTGATTGGCTTGAATGCTCCTATCCCTCTTCTTCTGAGGCTGAAGAAGTGGAAGTTTTAGCTCATAAAGGTATTTTGCGAGATGATCACTTTTGGGTGGGTAAATGTAACAAGCATAAATACAAAAGACAGCTCTTTTTGGGTGTGCTGCCATGTTGGTGTTTTGTTTCTTCTCCTATGTTGGCAACTTATAGCTTTTTCTGGATGAGTTCTTTTGTTGGCCATGCGGATATTGTTATTTTTGTTTGGGCTATGATGTGGCTCGGGTTCATAACTTTGAATCTGTGACTGGTTGGCAACCTTTGGTGGTGGTTCTTCTGAGCGATGCTGGTGGTTGGTTGGCTTTTAGATGGTTTATTGTTCATTCACTCACCTGGATGGTTCGTGCTTGGATTCGGATTGGTTGGTAGTCTTTGTCAATACTGAGCCTGGTGGCCTTTTGTGCCTACTTATCTTCTCGATTGATCTCCCTTTTGTTATCTTCTATTGTATCCGGTTTCTTATTCTGATCATTCTACTAATTGGGCCCTTGTTGTACTCCTTTTGTTTTCATGGAATAAGATCTTTATCTTTTTGGAAAAAAAAAAGTAAAATCTTGTGTGTTCTTCCTTATTTCAATTACAAGTTGTGAATAGCATGTTGGCCTACTGAGTTCTATACTCATATGTTGTTTAAAATATTTCAGAAAAAAGGTAAGGAACTTATTAAGTATGTTGATTCAAAAAGAGAGCAGGAGTTTTGGGTATGTAAGGTACATACATCCTTTTATTAATTCAGAGTTTATTAGGTATTTTGTTAACATTATTGTATTCTAAACTATTTTTTAAAATCATTGGATGAATGAAAATATGAAGAGGAGTTCAAATAAATATTTGATGTATATATTTTATTTTATTTTTGGATGATTAGATGACTTTGGTAGCGAGAAGTGTCATTTGTATGTTAATTGAGAATAAATAAAATGCCTGTTTGAAAGTCTTTTTGACTCATTGATATTGATTGATTATAACCATTTTTCCCTTGAAGATTAAATTAAAAAAAAGTTTGTAATGTTTCTAATATTAAATTTCAACTTTAATATTTTTTAAATATTTTTCATATAATTATCTTTATCATCTTTAATAACATTATAAATTTCTATTTAAAAAATGTTAATTTTCTTAAGAACAATTCTTACATCTCGTTCGGTCTTTTCTGCCTCGCTCACTGGATCGCCCCAAACACGGCACACGCACTCTCTCTTTCTCGGCCTGCCCTCCTCCCATCTCTCTCAAATTTATAGGACGAAATCCCTTCGTCTCCTTCATCACTAACCGACGAAGAAGGCAATAATACTAAGCAATAGAACTACATCAACTCTCTCAATACGACAGTGGAACCGGCACAAATTGATCTTCTTCGCCTTCGTCTCCCATATGACTACACCAAACGGAATTGACCTCCAACCTCTTTGTCTTCATCTTCTTCTTCTTCTGTCACCAACATAAAATGAACATCATTTGTCTCCTTCCCCATCCTCCTCATGAGAGTGAACCATCTCATCTTCATCATCCTATTCATCTTCATGCGGCTCCAAGCGACCGAAATGGCGTCAATCAAGCTTCGTTCGTCCCTTCGGTCTTCTTGAATACGAGTAATGGAAGCAACTCTTTCACCATCTTCAACGCCAAATTAATTAATACAGTTTATTTGATATAAATAAAATTATAATTATTAATTAATCATAATTAAAATAATTGAAAAAATGGTTATGATTTAATTTGAGTAACTAAAATGGAAGGCCATGATTTGATATGAAAGGAAACTCAAATGGTTTTTATAATAGTAGTATAGATTTGCAAATATGTTAAATAATAGAGTGCAAGTGTAAGTGAATGCAATTAAAATAACTATGATACCATGTGGCAAATATAGTTTGATTACGGTCTCCAAACCACCATGCATCACTCGACGACTTTTTAACCACCGTTTATGACTATAGTCTTTTAACCATTATCGTTGGACTATAGGCTCTTGACTTCCAACACAGACTACGGTCTCCCGAGCACCATCATCGTGCTACGATCTTCTTAACACATTTGCTCAACTATGACCTCTCGATCGCCGTCACATGACTATGATCTCCCAACCACCCCACTATAGTCTCCTTATCATTATTGCTAACCTATACTAACACTAGCTAACTTCGTTATTTGTTATTGCCAATAAAATCAATATACATCATCTCCTATAAGGTTGAAACTCTATGTTCTAACAATAGAGAGAAAGATAAAAGAATTTTAACTGAGAAAGAGGTAAAAGAAAAGAACATCCATAGCTGATTTAAAATCTTGAAAAAACAAGAGATATACTTACACCAGAGATATAATAAGCAGATGATACCTTGATAGAGCCAATAAAGAAGAAGTCACAGAAGCTGGAGGTTGCAGGCTGCATGGAAGACCCAGGTTTAGGAAAACACCCTAATAGAACCGCACCAATTAGAGAGTAAATAAGTGGAAAATTAGGAGTAAACAAGTGGAAAATTTACTTCATCGAGCAGAGCTCATTTATTTAGCACGAGCTTGGCTCAAGTGAAACATATGAGGTTAAAATTTGACACAAATGCTCGAGCTCAATTAAGAAAGCTTAAGATTGATTTATTTTTTAGCTCATTTTTTTATTTTGAATTAGGACAATCAAATAAGTATTAGGCTAATATAAATTCTGATGTATTAATTAATATAAGTCAACTTGGGTTGACAATCCAACGAGCCGAGCTGGGCCAAATTTGAGTTCAAGCTCATATAACATATGAGCTCAAATTTAAACTAATAGTCAAACTCTAACTCATTATTTAATAAACTCGAGCCAACTCATGAGCCATCTTGATTCACTTACAAGCCTCACAAACCTTTGCCTGGAAAGAGGAGGCCATAAATAGATGGAGGGATTTTTTAATTTTTCAGCAGGTGCAACGTTAATATATGATTTAAACATCCATTAAAAATGGGATACATAAAATAAGATTCAATATGAGCTTTACTAATAAATCTACTTGAACACAATCAGCCAACAAAAGATTACAGGAGATGCGAGACCCGCAGATGCAAATAACATTGGAGTTTTAGCAACCCATCATTGCCAGATTTATTATGCCCGCGCGATACTAATGGAACTTCCTTCACAACTAATGAACAAACTAATGCCAAGCCGAAGCAGATATCAAATTCCTATTATTCCAGCCCAGCAACGTTGCACCATCTTTCTCCACTAATGTATACTTATCTGAATAGTAACCCAAAAGAGTCTTTATCACTGAGTTGACGTAAGAGCTCAAGGGGAATGACTTGAAACCAGCCATGGTGAGCCGCGACCTCCACTTGCCGAGCAGCTCGTGCCGCTCGATCCTCTCCTCTCCCTCGCAAGCAATTATGTTAACAATGTCCTTGGCCAGGCAGTGCTGTTCCACGTCTATCCTCTTCTTGCTGTCTCTTGGCAAGGTCTCATCAATCGACTCGAACATCACACAGTAGTAATCAAATGTCTCTGAAAACCTCATAAGAAATGGCGTTGTATTCGTGTTTGATTCCTGCTCTACCAATGTGACAACTTTTGGTGATAAGGACTTCACCATTCTGAGCAATCCGTCGCGAGGATTGTTCACATTGACACTCTCATCCGGTGTATGGTGAAGCTGGAGAGTGAAATTCACTGCAAGAGCCTCACCTGGCTGGATTTCAAGCATGTCTCTTGTAACTTGAGGACCATAAACTGAAAGACCATGAAACTCAAGTGGGATGTTAAACTTCTTCGACATTTCCGATAGATTCTTACCAACAAGCTGTAAGCCATCTCCTCTTGCAAACTCTGATACTGGATCATCAATGCCTGTGATCCTGACATGAGGAGGGCCCCTAGGACGGGCAGCCAGTGCCTGTATTAGAGTAACCCACTGTGTCCCTTGTGCGATCTGGAAGTCGATGATGTGAATCCTATCCTCATTTCTCAATGATTCAGCAATTGCTCCATTGGCAGCCATATGACCAAATTTGAAATAAGGACAGATGTCATACAGAATTCGCATATGGGATAGTAGCTCCTTGCTTTCTGGTTGGCGGCATCTTAGAGCACGGTAGATTTTAGTGCCGGAGGCCTCATGGCGAGCAACTAGACCCTCCAGCATATAAGCACCAACCCGCTGGATGGGATCGCCATTTATGGAGACGAATTTAGCAGCCTCCTTTACGAGGGTTTCAAACTCATTCACCCTGCCATCATCTAGAGCTTCAGCACATCTTGCAAGCAAATGCTTGATATCCATCATGGGGAGGGCTTCCATTGTCTCCCTTGGCCGCTTCTCAGGAAGACTATAGGAATATTGTAGTTGGGGGGTGGATGCTATATTATCCTGTGAATGGTGCCTCTCTGGCCTGGATCGTTGCTTTGTGAGAACTTTTGGTTTGATTTCCTCAAATTCAGCACTTGTGCTGGTAGCTGCTTCATTGTGATCAGGTGACATAAGGACGCTCTCAATTTCTTGAAGGGCATGCTTCATGCTGCGGCTACAAGATGCATAATTCTCTGCAAAATTTACCTCGGTTTGCTTGCAATTGGTGCCAGTAATTGTGGAGATGTGCCCTTCCTTACTGTTGCTTGGAATGGATGAATCGCTATAAAACTGGTTAGAAAGAGTGGAGTTAGGTGAGTTTCCAAGATCAAGCTTGAGGGACCCTGTTGTCCATTCAGAGTATGATGTTGCAGTAGTAAATTCATAGGACAAATGATTAGCACTGGTAAGTTGACTTCCATATCTATAAAACCGATGAGAATCCATACAAACGTGATCGCATTGGAGGTCCTGATATTGTATGAAAGATGGCATCAAATCACATCTACTAAGTCTAAACATTGAGAAAACAAACTTGTGGATAAAGCAAAACTTATACTGAATCTAACTGTTCTATACATGAGCAAAATTTGTTTGAATAAGATGTCATCTTTTGAGACCAAGCGCAGAACAACTAATAAAAGCTATTGATCTGCTGTGACTGTGACTACATGAACAGAGGCTGAGGTAAACAGATGCGGTGAATTCATCAAAGGTAAAGAATAGAATGAAAGAATAATAGGAATATTGCCAATCAGCTCGTAATTGATGCAATCACAGTTTATCTGGCTTGGTGATTGTATCAAAGCAAATGAAAAGTTTTCTCTAGTTTTGGCATTCAGTTTCATAAGTTTTCCAATTTCTTATTTCATACATATGCTAAATGCATGGATTTGTTTTTTGCCCTCTTGCAAGAAAAGAAGACAACTTTAGCTCATGAAATTCTCCAACCTCGTTCCGAAAAAAAAACAAGAGAAAATATTTCTTGCAGATTTGCACTATATAAAGTCCATCAAGTAAGACAAGCCAGAGTTCTGTTTGGGTATAGTTGCAGCATACTTGATGTATATGCAAGACACATTGAAAAGTACCCTTCTTGAACTATATTAATCAATATTTCAAAATCAAGTTGAAGTAAGTTGACTATGGTTATATATATCTCAAAGATTCCATAATATGCTTCCTGATATACATATGTGTTGTTAGGAGTGTCAAAATGGTCTTTTGGGTTGGGTTCAAGTCCAATTCGAATTTAAGGAGCATGGTGGTTAATTTAAATTAGGAATAGAAGTAGAGTATTAAAAACTTTAAAAAGAAGCAAACTAGCCAAACATAATGGTGCATTACATTGAATGCACCAACTGTTTGGCGTATTTAGAATAAAACAAACAATTTAGCACATTCAATGGAATGCACCAAACTATTTGGCGCATTGCTACAATAATTTTAGAATTTAGTTCAGCTAACTAGGGTGAATGCACCAAATGATTTGACGCATTCTAAAGAATGCACCAGTGCATTCCTTAGAATATGTCATTCTATTTGGATATTTTCTTCTATTTTAATTTTTTTAATACTCTGCTCCTATTCCTAATTTAAATTAACCACCATACTCCTTAAGAAAATCCATTGACCGGATCTGAACCTAACCCGATTAAGAAAGAGGTCACAAGCACAGACCTGAACCTGACCTTGTTCAAACATGGGTTGACCCGACACAACACGCAACCCCTTTTAAAAAAATTCTATAATTCTGCTTTTGCGTGTTTCTTCAGTCAAATCCCATAACGCGTATTTCTTCTGCAAAATCCAACTCTAACTGACTAGCCACCTGATCGACAAATCCATTTCGCGTGCTTCTTCTTCAGCCAAATCCCCTTTCACATGCTTCTTCTAGTCCGCTCTGACTCGAACCAGCAAACCATTCGGAACTTTTGAACTAGCGAACCGTTCAGAACTGTAAGGGAAATGGCGAACTACAACAAAGTTACGAAATAAAATTTCATTCTCACCTCCTTTAAGCTCGCTTCTACACAAAATATGTGAATCTTTCAATCCGAGTTAAAATCGGGTTTGCACGTTGACTTGAACCCGACCCGTTTTTTAAACGGGTCAGATTTTTAGATTCGAACCCAACTCGTTTGTTAAGTAGGTCAACCTGAATCTAGAATTTTCGAGTCGGGTTGGCAGGTCGGGTTAATTTTTTGACACACTTATGTGTACTGCAAATTAGCGAAAAATAACCCAAATCACACAACCAAACACAATGAACACGATGTGATTTATGTGGTTCGACCAAGAGTCCACCCATCTTAAAAAAATGTCTTCTGCGATATTTTCCTTAAGGATTCAGACACAAAATCAATATAAAAGAAATACGTACGATCATAACTCAAATCAAAACTCGTCGAGAAAAAAACATATAGTCATGCAATTCATTTTATCACATGTCATTCAATTATGCATGCAAAATAATAAATCTTAATCTACCCAATCTACCTGATTCACAATCAATTTTTTCTGCTCTGGTAACAATTCAATTCTTCAAACAAGATTGCTTTGAGACCAAATTTGTGACGCCCCAAAATCTAATTTGAAATAATTATTTCTTTTATCTTTATTATATAACAACTAGGGTTATATAATTTCATCTATCAGTAATAAATAACATAAATAAATTCTATAATTCAAAATATCAATACACATCTATATTCATTGACAAAAAATATCACATACAATACTTAGGAATCACAACATATCCTTCCATTCCTGAGTACAAAAGAATAACTAAAAAAATAGAACCTGCAGAATCTTGATCAGTCTCACACTCCTGAATCTCTTTACTGACTTGAAATCATTTAAACCACATATAATGAGCTAAATAGCCCAACAAGTCACTAAAATCCTATAATTGAATTCAAAGCATAATAAAAAAGTAGTATGGATGTCTAATAGTAACAATTATAAAATCAAGAATTAGTGCAGAAATAATAAAACTTATATGCAGTGGCAGCATAATCTATAAACAGTAAAATAGTATGGTACGGAAGCCAGTAAACCAGTACAATAGGGAAACCAATAAACCAGTACAAGTGTCAAATCGTTAAAACAGTCGTCGTATCAATATCAATTGGTAAGGAAATTATAAAAAAACCAAAGTCTCAATGAAAATCGTCAGAATCATATCAATAAAGTAAAATCCTAGAATGGTTACACATGTTATCCAATATGTCACATGCTCAACATTTTACATAATCAATATGTTATATACTCAGTATCAGTGTAATGATCAATAGTGTCAATCAATATCGGTGTAAGTATTAGTAACAGTAAAATAAGTGAAGGGAGCAATAAATACGTACATTAATATGAGCAATGCCTCAATAACATGCATTTCAATAGTCACACTAAACAAGTAAGAAATCCTGACTTAATTGATATTTTTTCATATTATATTAATATTAATAAAATGTTGGCTCAGTAAGTAGAGTTGTTATTTTTTGCCCGTCGATACAATAATAACTTCTTGTAACTCACAATCGTTGTATCATTGTATTAGTAAAGGATAACACTCAGTCATAGTATTTAAAGGAAAGTCTGTCGATTGACAATCATGTATAGGTAAATCAATCTCCAACCAATGGGTCAACCAGTATTTATTTGTCTTTTACATACACATTATTATCACAATACTATAATAGTAATAGCAACCAGCTATTACTCAATTATATACCAACAATCACTTCAAATGCATTGAAGTAAATAAAACATAATTAGGCTTAATTCAAAAAGTATAAAAATGTCTTAACGACAGGCAAAAGAAACACTACTAAGAAAAAAATTCATATTTTTAAAATATAACAAAATTATTAGAGATTGCATATATAATATAACAGCTGAACTTCCTAAACACCTCAATCCGGCCAATTCAATCCATTTATAGAACTGGGATATCATCTAACTGCTTGAGAACCGCTCAGGCTAGCGATGTTTCTCTAAAATCGAGCGGTTCAAGCATGAATTAATTTCAGCCGTCAAATTACGGTGTTACGGTTCAGATTAAAAAAAATAAACTCTTAATCCCGCAAGCAACCCTAAGCATTTCGTTCGTTCGATCGTTCCCTTCTCTGTGAGTCCGCTCGGCTTTGTTCTCTTTTCCACAAGTCTGTTCGATCGTTCTTCTCCATACAGGCACTATGAATCAAGTCTACCGTTCCTTCCTCCGGCAACAAGTCTGCCATTTGGCCTGTTCCTTCCTCTCCGATCGGCGTACAACACGACGTAGAATGCCAAGCTCAACTCCTTAATGCCAAATGCATAATAGAGGCTTGATAGGTATGCATTCCTCCCCCAATGCAATGTGGTAATAATGAGTTACCTGATTTGGTCATTCTGTGCGGGAATTGGGAGCCAGGGGATAGCTGGACCACCTGTGCCGGAACCTGGAGCCGTAAGGTGTGTCGTTTGGTGCTTTATGCATAATAAATTCTTAAGTTTAAATTTTAAAATGCTATATATTTCATATCAGACCACAATGACTTAGTAGCAATACTTCTCCAAAGTAATTGAATATATCTCACTAATTTTGATTTGGCATATTCAACTCTTTTGGGAAATATATATGTTGTATTTTAAAAAAAATCCAAATTATCAATCAAATTTAAAGTCTTCTAGAATCTTATGTACTATCAAATATACAAATTTAATATTGAAAATCACAAAGATCACATTGTAGTTGCCTAGAACTTTAATTTACAAAACTTTGCTTAAATTGCATCTTTGGTTATGTTTTAATTGACGCAATGCTTTATGTCTTCAATGATATGAACAATGGAATGAGAACTATTACATTTTTTCTTAAATGCTTTATGTCTTCAATTAAAATAAGTATTCTTTCATGTTTTATATTTCATGATTATTTATTATGTTTAAGTCATATTTTTTATATGATTACATCATTATTATATAAATTATGTTATATTTAAATAAAATTAATATTTATTATGTCATCTAGTTCGACCCCAATCGAACCATCGAACTGCGAACCTTGGTTGAGAGTCATATATCGTCATCATAATGATAAGGAAAAGATCTTTTGACATGTTTAATAATTTAATCGACTCACAAAAACTTTCAGGACATATCGATGTGTACCACTTTTTAGGACTACATATTGAATCCAATGACTCAATTATAATGAAAATTAGTCATCATTGATGCATTGCCGAATCAAATAAAAATTTATTATCTACGCTAATTTTTTTTTTTATTCTTCATTTTGTTATCAAGATAACTTTTATGTTAATTTTGATGTCAAGATATCTTCATGGTGATTTGAAGAACATCTAAATGATATATTGTAAAGGATTCGAAGTTTCTGAAAAAAAAAAAAAAGTGTAGTTTGCAAATTGATGAAATGTATGAAGTAAAATAGGTTTTTTTTCAATGATAAAAGAGTTGAAGTTTCAAATAGGATAACATAGTTAATGTGGTTAATGGTTCTCTTGGGTATTATTGGCCTCTACCATGTTTAAAAAAGTTCAAGAATCGGTGACTAGCATACAAACTCGATGTGATTGAATGAGCTCTTGTTGTATGTCACTTGATGGCGTTAAAAAGTTTTCCTTTAAGGGGGATTAATGGTTAATTTAGGGAATGCTTATAAGATAGGTAGATCATTGAGATACACTTAAGAGTATATAATCATATCCTCATACCAAATGTGAAATAGAAATTGAGTTCATAATCTACTAATAGTAGCCCTCACCAATTAGTTTAAGATCAATGGTCATCCACTAGAACATATAACTCATGCCCTTATAGTTCTATCCTCCTAATGAATTGTAAGGCTCGAGCATATGGCTTTTTTTTTTTTTTTTGTTAACTTCATGCTAATTGGCCTAGAATTTTTAGGGATGAATTTTGAAATAATAAATTGTGCATTACAAAGCGATTGTATTTTAATAGTATTCTAGCATCATCTTAATATGTTTTAACATATTATATTCTATCTACAACATCCAAATAAGCACCCATCCTTGTTCATAAATCCTAATAAACAATGTTATAATCATAACTTGTAGTTCTAAGAGATTTATTAAATTATTGTGAAGAATATCCTATGTAATAAATGTAACTATATCCAATGATATGCCTAGATATAGCGTTTCTTATGATATTTACTTATATGATTCAAATTTGTTAATCAAAATATCATAATTAAAAACAAGGTTTTAATCCTAGTGAAAAAACAAACTTTTGAAAAGGATCTTTGGTGTAGGCATATATTGCTTTGATTTTACAAGAAACTAGCCCTAATGAGAAAAGGATCATTGTTTTATACTATACGTAATCCCATCATCATCATCTTCCCAACTATTTGCGGCCAGCTTCATGAATCCTCATTTTTCATTCATTTTGGTAGAGTGTTGTCAGAAATGTTAAAACTATTATTTACAAACCATTTTGAAAAACTTATTTCCATGTAACCATAGATCTACCATTTCTTGTATATGTAATTCCAAAGTGCATGATTCGCAGCAGTTCATTTGAGTGTGCAAAATAAGGAACCGTTTAGGTTATCCCGAAGGATATGATTCTCAGTAACTTCATTTAAGGTGTGCATATCAAGGATCTACATATATATTTTGTGATTTCTATTTGTGAGCTATCAAGGAACTATATATATAGTGATTTTGTAGCATATATCTTTTGCTGTCTTTTACTCTAAATCCAAGCTACAATCCGCAATTGCAGACTCGTATATAAATTTAAATGTAGATGAATTCCAATAACAATATACAATTTCATTTCTCCTTGTTCATCCATCATCAAGTCTGATATATTTGTGAGGAAATTTAGAAGGTTCATTGATTTCTACTAGACAATATGACCCACTTAACCAAACCGATATCAAAAACAATTTTTAAAGTTGTGGTTAAGTGATATTTATACCATCCAAACATCGCATCTTCTAACTTGATAAAAAAGTATACCATGAAAAAGGAAGACTTGAGTAAAATTCTGAATGAAAAGTCTAGTCATCGGACAACAACGAGGCAGGGTCATAGGATAAATACTTGAAACATTATTCTACATTTATTGCTTCCATGAACAGCGTAACACTACACTTGATCTTAGCCAAAAGGCCGAGAACACATATAATGTAAACTCTAGATAGCTTGCCATAAATAAAACTAAAAGCCGTACTCAATAAGACTTCCATCGGTGATCGAACTAGTAATTTGTACTTCCTTCTTCTTTTTGTTCACCCACATAAGAAGAACCCTAGAAATTAATCAAAAAATGATTCAGAGAACTCAAGAGTGAGCGACCAGAGTTAAGGGACCAGGGGCATCATTCCATTTATGGAGTTCCCATTCTTCCACAAATACTTCTAAGTTCTAAAATTTAAAGCCTTAAACGAAGCAAGAATAAAGAGAATTCATGGGACTATTTATCATGCGCAACTTGATACAAGGAGCAGAAAGTGAAAATCCGTTGAGAAATCGATGCAAAGGCACAAAAAGGAATCAACGACCGAAAACATCAAAGCTAAGAAAAACTCTAATTTCATCTATTTCATGCCCAATTCCTACACGCAATAGCAAAATCACTGCCAAACAACTCCAAAAAGCTTATCCTAATTAATAAAACACATACGAAAAGATAAAACATATCCAAAAACTCACCAATTCTGCCTCTGCCTTCTCAAATTACACAAAATTGATACTTTTCTTCTTCCGAGCACCCTTTCTCACTCCCTCTCTCTCTCTCTCTCTCTCTCTCTCGCTCTCTCTCTCTCTCTCTCTCTCTCTCTCTCTCTGAGAAGAAAACAACTATCGGTGTCTAGCTCAAGCGCCAAGGCATATATAAGACCACAAAGGATAGAGACCGAAGTGCTCAAATTGAAAGGGTCAGCGTTCCACAACGACTCTACATTTACGCGTTTTAACGGCGGGGTAACGGATACGCCTTGGCCAAGTAGCAGTGAAGCACCGATCGTCCGATTCAAATCGTGCGTGTGCGATGATGTCGCTATAGAAGTTTTGACGGAAGCTTCTTATGCCGGTGCATACGTGGCCGACCGCACGTGACAGCCACGCAGGCAAGTGACGCGTGACGGGGTTGGGCGCCATTTTGACGCAACGATCGCCACCGTCAGTCCATGTCTTGCTTGCTTCCGTTTGGCGGTCAGATTATGATCGGAGTGAACACGTCTGCAATTTGACGTTGACTGTTAAGAAGCTCCTCTGTCAATCTTTAAAAGAATATTAAAATTCTTTACCAATGCCTCGTAGGCTCGTGCTGAATGGGAGAGCAATTCATACATGCAATTAAGCAATTCTTCATTATTTGTAGGCTTATTACTCTCATTTTCAAATATTTTTCATGTTGACACTAAGGTTTCATCTTAGTTATTAATTTTGTAAAATAATTTTTTAGTTAAAAAATGTTTAATTCAAAAAAAAAATAGAAATCTACTTTAAAAAATAATAAAAAAATTGTCTCAAACAAAGCCTAAAAAATTACATGCTGATCATGTTATATTATGCTTCTAACAAAATACTTGTGAAGCACAGATGCGACTAATAACTTTAAAATGTTATACTCTTCATCATTCATCTTGCACAAGAAAATTTTATTCAAAACAGAAACATAATTGTACCTGGCATAATATATGAGTCCAACATAAAAATATGTGGTAAAATCTCAAGAACAATAACCAATAAAATATTGAAAGAAGATAATTAGCAATTAGCATGGCATAAATAAAAATAATAAAAAGAAAATATAGAATGTCTATCCAACATATTATGTGGTAGGAAATTTATAGCAATAGAGTGATAGAGGTTTACATCCTGATTTTGCATGAAAATTCCACACATAAATGGATAAATGAAAAGAGTAAGTGAGATGCCAAAGTTTTTATGTTAAAACTAATCCAATTGAAATAATCACTAAGTGAGTGTTAATTACAAAGATTTACTTGTACACAAAATTGGAGAAAACAAGATTATAAGAGAATGTGAGGATGGCAGAAAATACTTGAAAGTTGGCGAGGTATGAGAGGCATTCGAATGATTATGGCCAAATGAAAGCATTCTAATGATGTTGCTAAGATAACAAAGGTCCAACGATGGAGGTTGGGTGGCAGAGGTTAGATGTCAATGGTCTAAAGGTAATGGTTGGATGGAGATGATCCGATGATACTTACTAGGCATAGGTGAACTGGTGACAGTGTTTTGGTGGTGGTGGCACAACAATAATCACTACATGAAAATCACGGATTTGTGGCAGTCTTTACAGTGATTTTTTTTTTTGTCAAAAATGGTGACTAATTTGTGACGAAAATTTTTAAAGATTTTTTTATGATAGATTTGTGATGGAATTTGCCTTCATAAATCCTTCGCAAGCTACGTTATAATACTAATTAAAAGAACATCTTTCTTTTGTGTTTTGCCTCCGCAATAGAGTGGAGGGGGTTGGTTTGCAAGAGGAGCAGGTTCGAATCTTGGATACGTCATGTGGCGCAGGCAATCTCGTTAGGCAGTCGGTCAGCCAGGAGCTGGCAGCTGGTAATGCGTAGGCAATGGTCAGGCAAACGGTCAGACTTAGGTAACCAGTCAGGCAGGTCGTCAAGTTCGGGTAGCGGGCAGCGGGCAGCCAATAAAGTATGAATTTTTTATTTATTTATTTTTTGAATTTCAGCACAAATCCACCGTAAATCAAATTTTGCAATGGATTTTATTTATTTTTGTGATGGATTATTTCGCTGCAAAAAGGTAAGTTTCCTATATTGAATGGTCTAGCAATGGTGATTCGATGGCGATGGTTCTACGATGACAACGGTTGAGTGGTAGTGGTCAAGTGATGGAGGTGGTAATGTGGTGGTCTTATGGTGACAATTAGGTGTGGTCTGATGATGGTGGTTTAACAATGGTGATCTAACGATGGTGCTTAAGTTGAGATTCGAGATTCTTCAAATTTTTTAGCTCTCTTAAATCTTAAGTCAAAGGCCACCTTCATATAGATACTGAGTGCCTATTTGTAAATTTTGAGAGTGACACACACTATAAATATTGTCAAATTCAAAATACTTAATCAAACAACCAATATTGATTCTCTTGATCATAGAACGTTCTTTGAGTATTTATGTACCTCAATGATATTGGAATTAAACCAATTCGATTCATCTCATCGAAAAACTAGATTTGACTATAAGCATGTAAAATTTGAAGATCATTTGATGCCCAATCAATATTGTAAGGTTTCCAAGTATGCCTTAAGTGCTCTATTTGGGCTCAGATCTAATCAATTTTAGTGTTGTTAGGTTCATCTTGTTGAATAAATTAGTTTTATTATAAGTTTATTAAAATTCGACTTTGGATGGTCCTAAATTCAATTTTGAAATATTTGAATTCAAATATGTATCAAGATTTCTCCCCAATAAAGTTTTTTTATATATATCATATTAGTTGAACCCCATCACACCCCCCCCCCCCCCCCCCCCCCCCCCTCACAACCCCCCCCCAATATTCATAGTTTAAAGCTTGTGTCAATCAAAATTAGTTTAATTAAAAATATCATTTTTGTCATAGAAGCAGTCACATAATATCTCTCTAGTTAATAAACAAATCATAATTTTTAATTCCTTGAAAGTTGATAAGATATTATATGTGAATATTATCCTCAAAAAATTCTTTTTTCAGTATCAATTGATCCTTCATTATGGAGACTAATCCAAAGCAGATTTTTCCTTCCTTTTGTCAATTGGGTTGAACCTTGCATTAACTATATTCCTTTCTTTGTGATCCTTATAGAGAAATTAAATGATAGTCTTTCTTCTCCAATGGCTTGAGGCATGGTTTCTGAGTATTAATTTTTTTCTTGTTATTATCACAATGAATACTTTCTCATACCTTCTATCTACTCTCTTATCTCCAATGGACACCTCTCCATTGGACATTTCATGTACACTAATGATCTTCTCCTCTTGAGAAAATCCAATGATGTAACCATACATTCACTAAATAGTACTCTTGACATCTTTGGTACTTGCATGGGGTTGCAAGCTAATGCTAATAAATTTGAAATTCACCATCCTAAATCAATTACATTGTTAAGAGATTAAGATTTATGTTTAGTATTAAACATGTTCCATTCCTTTTGAAATACTTAAGTATTTTTTTAACGACTAATAGAATTTAAGTTGAAGATTATCACTCGTTATTTTAAAAGTTGAATAGATGCATATCTTGCTAAAAAGTAGAAATGCATTTATTAACTAATCCAACACTTTATTTATATTTGATTTACTATTTATTGTTACTGCTCGAATTGCTTTTATTCAAAGCATTAATAATATAAGTAATATTCTCCTAACTAATGAATAAACCATAAAATTCAAATCCTTGCAAGATAATAAAATCTTTTGTGTGAAGAATTACCTTAAAAAGCCTTTCTAAATATCAACATATCCTCAATTCTATTGACTAATCCAAAATTTTCGGATGTTCTCAAGGACGTGCAAGAAAAGTTAGCCGAGACAAATAGCTGCTAAGGATCAGCACCACCGGCATGTTGAGTTTACACCCGGTGAGCTGGTCATGCTTTGCTATCGCATAGACCGATTTCCTTCCCGTCCTTGTCCCAAACTCAACCCAAAAAAATTCGGTCCATTTCCAGTTCTCAGAAAAATCAACGACAACGCGTATGTCATCGATCTACCAAAAGATATCCAGACTTCTTCCACATTCATTGTTGTAGACATTTATCACTATCACCCACCAGATTCTCTGCAACACACATCAGTCTCATTGGAGATGAGTTCGTCTGAAGCGGGAGGGACCTGATGCGAGCTATACCTACGGTCCACGACCTGAAGCGGGTTACACCATAGGTCCACGTGGACTAGACACTTTCGGATACCTGGGCATTAGCTGCCCATTCCACTATCTTTTACTAACCGTTTTATTCCTTTTTGTTTAGTTGTGCCTTTTAGTGTTTTCTGCTTTACTACCTTTTAGACAAGTTATATAGCACAGGAAAAGAAAAACAGAGAGATATATAGAAATTTGGCTTCTAAAACAGAAAGGTTCTTCTTCAACCTTTTTAATACTGTTCAATTGCTTTGTTCTTGTAGCTATCTTCTCTTTTGCAGGTTGTAAGCTGCACCAAATATGATTATCGTTATAAAAAGCGATTCGTTGATACAATTTGCATTGTATATTTTTTAAAATCAAATTTATGATTAAAAAATGGTTTGTTTGATCTATTAAAGCCATATTTCACAAAGCAACGACAAATGGCTTTTATGCCACATTAAGGGCTGAAGAATTGATGATGATCTTAATCTTTTAGAAAATCATCACCAATCGATCAATTAATGGAAAAAAGTGGCATTTATAGGTTATTAATTAATTAAGCTCGTTTTTTTCTAAATTCCTAAGATGACATCCAAAAATAACTTGGGTGAAATGAGTTAAGATCGAATCACTTTTTGCTTTAGCTTGAATTTGTTTAACTAATAGAGTGCAAGTTTCAGCTTGAGCTTAATGAAATGAGTTTGAGCCAAAACTCGTTATTATGAAAAAAGAAAAAAAAATATTCTGATTCATGCAATTATTGTAATAATAGTATTAAAATAATGATAAATTATAAGAAAAATAATTAAGAAAATCACTTGATATAAAAAATGGTATATAATATTTAAAAATTTTAGCACTTTCATACTTAAATACTTGTGATATATCATTAAAAAAAAATTATTTTGATCAGACACGAATCTCGAGGTTAAAAATCATGCTGGAAATTTCAAAAAATTAAATCGG